TAATCTTTGTTTAAAAAAACAGTATAGTTAATTTTATTTAATGAACCTTGGGTTTAATTAGAGTTAGATTTTCCCATTAACATTGATTTCAAAGAAGCAATTAGAATCTGTTTTTGAGTTTTGAGATCCTTCGGTTTCATTACTTTAGTTCTTCTATGTTGTGTGCTTTTGGATGATTCATGTAACATTTTTTTAATTAAGATAGTATTGTGTTATGTATGGTTCACAAGTTGAGGCTCAATTTTACCATAAATTGGTCAACCGACTTGACAAGATCGGATGAAAAAAAACTCACCCGCTTCTAATCGAATTATGATTTGCAACCCGTTTGGGATTTATGGTTTGAATGAGAGTGAAAAAAAATTGAGTCGACTCGGCCCTTTAGCTCTTTGGGGTGGGTGTGTGAATGAACTCTTTGGGGTGGGTGTGTAAAAAAAAAAAAAATTTAAGACTTTTTCGATATTATAATTTTTAATTAAAAATTTAAAAATCACTATAAAATATTTTATCATTTTTTTGTAGATTTTTTTTTTTGGATCAAAAATTAGAAAATTAACTAAGTTAGCAATTTTCAAATAGAGCCTAAATATAGTTGAAAAGAGTTTTATTAGGACATTTCAATGGTTGAGATCAGTTTTATTCAGTTGAATTAGGTTAGGTTTTTTTTGGAAGAGGGTGTGAGAATCAAGGAGTTTTATTTGGGTTTTCTATTTGTGTAAAATGTGATATGATTTGTGTAAATGTGAGGGTGTGAGAATCTAGCATTTTTATTTGGGTTTTGATACGATAATCTGTTTGTGTAAATGTGATATAGTCAAGATTTGAAACTCTAAATGAAGCTCCTCCTCTGCAACAAAGCACATAGCCTTACAAAGAAACCCAGGTAATATTTTTTTTTTTTCTTATCAGCCCAGAAACTTTTCTTGCTGCAGAAACTTTTCATCCCATAAACTTTTCTTGCTGGTCTTCTCTCTCTATTATAGATGGGCTACATTCTAGTGTTCGTGAATGCATAGGACACATTCCAAGCTCATCATTAGTTAGTTGTATACATATGTGTCAAAACCCTTTAATAGTAATTCTACTAACTGTGTCTCTGTATCTAATTTTTTTGGCTTGCTAATCAAACATGCACACACTTACCTTTTTTTCTCTCTTCATTTGCAATATTTTTTTTGGTTGGCAACCCTATGCTTTGCCATGCAGAAATCTGCAACTGACTAATCATCCTCTAATTTACAACAATTTTAGTATAATAGAAAAGAATTAATTTCAACCTAACTATTAACATACAAGATAACAAAATTCATCCACTTTTCATCCACTAATCATCCTCTAATCTTCATCCACTTTTCATGAGATAACATACAAGATAACAAAATTTCAAGAAATTGTTAAGTAATTGAAGCACACAAAAAAAGGAACTCATATCCTATCGCGGTTTCATTATAGAAATGGTCAAATTATTTAGTGAACAATCTTTTGACGTGCCCTCATTTGAAGTCATCATGAATAATCAAGCAATGTATTCACTGTGTGTATATATAGATACTAGGATTCTATGCACACACAAAAAATGTATAATAATCTTGCATGGGTGATTTAAGGATAGTTCAAACCCCAAAAGACAATTAATTACGTGTTTAAATTACAAGATTATTACGCTAAAAATTATTACAAAGAATGATAAGATTGGTGGTTGGCATTTGAAGGGGTAAGATGAAAATAGCAAAGATACACAGAAAAGGAGATTGAGAGATTACAAATATGACAATTGAAATGTTTGCATAGAAGAAGGCAAAAGGTGAGGTGAGAGATGGACACACATAGATGGACATGAGTAATGACCCATCACTACTAATTGTCCTATATATAATGCAAAGGACTCCCAAATTGGGGACACACTAATAGACCTTCTTGAGGCTCCTTTAACTTTACCATTCTATGTTAATAACTCAAATTTTTTTTAATGTTTTTTTAATTTCCCAACAGTGGCTTCAAGACCCATCGTTCAACACCAAAATAGAGGTATTTTACATTGTCTCTTGAATTTCCCTTTCTCTGCTCTTGATCGCTGTTGTTGGTTGATTATGTTGTTTGGATTTGTTGTTTGAATTCTGAATCCTGAAGGATTTGTTGTTTGGATTTGTTGGTTGATAATATTTTGTATTACTTTTGAGATTTCATGTACAGCACACAGTGCTTCCCTTTTGCAATAGTCAGCCTTCTATTTGATATGTAACTTTATGGAGATATGTCCAATTTTGGAGTTAATAATAATGTATTTTGGAGTTGAGCCTATCTCAATTTCAATTAAACAGTGGACGTTTTATTTCTAGGCTTTTAAGTCTGTAGAAAATTTGTCAAAAATTTACCAAATAGGTTTTTGTTTTCAAGCTTCTTTTTTTCTCCTTCCTTGAAAGTTCAAACATTGAGTTTAGATGTACTTTGATTATTAGAAAACTTTCTTCTTTACCTGCTCGCAAAAATTTTTGCTTTATTATTGACTGTAAATAAAATAACATAACAGCAACTTAAAGATCGCATAAACACATTAACTAAAATAAAACTATTTGGGCGTTCATTGAATTTCATTTGAAAACTCACATATGTTTTTATAAAGTTTAATTTCAAATCCCTTCATTTGATTGGAAACTCCCACAACTTTTGTGAACTTAGATAGATATTTTTGAGTTTATGTCGTGGTGGGTCACCAAAGTTCAACAATGGTTGTTTGCCTATGTCATTTTCTTGGCATAGAAATAGGAATTTTTAGGTTGAAAGTATAATTTCATCTTTATAATTGATAATTTATTAAATAGTATTGGGATTGCAATTATATTCTAATCCCAATATTATTTACACCGTGTCTTCAGACACGGGTATTCGCTAGTTTTCTAATAAAACACATGCTTCATTTGGAAAGTGGGATTCGCTTTTTGGCTATTTTAATTTAGAATAAAAAGTTTGTTTAGATTAAATTTTTTGATTTTTTAAATTTTTATAAAAATAATAAAATAATTATAATTGAAATGTGATTATTTATTTTATTAATTTTTTAATTTTTTAACTAATTTAATAAATAAATAAGCAAAAATCAACTCAACTCATCTCAAACGACACGACCGATAATAGACATATGAATATGACAAGCCACAGCCATGGGAAATTGTACCTGGGAGTGTAAAAAAATAGTGGTTAGGAGATTTTAGGGTGGTTTGGCATCCCCAACATAATTCATCTTTTTATGTTTTTATCTTTTTTTATCATATTATTTTTTTATTTTTTTACACATCTTTTCATAAAAAGATAAAAAGTACACTTATTTAGATCATCCCAAACAATCCCTTAGAAAGTCTTATAAAATAAAGGAATAAAAATATGTAAAATTATATAAAATATAAGAGAAATTTTTGTATATGGATAGGATATATGTCATGTGGTACCTTTTACTATTATAATTGGCTTTGATAGTAGAGTCCATTACATTTATGTTGAATGTTTTGGAAAGCATATATATTTGTGATTAGTGAAAGGTAGTGTCACGTGATACCCTATTAACATATAAAAAAATTTCAAAATATAAATCAGTGTGTTTGGTTTGAGTTTTTTGAATTAAGTTTTTTGAAAACTGAGTTTTTTGGTTTTCGTGTTTTTCTTATTTTTAGTGAATATTTTTAAAATTTAAAACAGTTTTTTACTTTTTTAGATGTACTTTACTTAGATGTATCTAAAAAATAAAAAAAATTGTAAAAAAATATTTTAAAAATTAATAAATACATGAAAATATTAAAAAAAAAATGTACTGAATTCTCGTATTTTTTTTATATTTTTAGTATTTAGTAAATTTTTAAAAAGTTTTTTCACAAATTTTTACTTTTTAGATATATTTATGTTAGGTATGTCTAAAAAATAAAAAATAAAAATTGCTTAAAATATTAAAAAAAAATTTGTAAAAACAAAAACAAAAACAAAAAACAAAAAAGTAAAAAATAAAATTTTCTAAAAAATATTTTTTAAAAAATAAAACAAACAAAGTGAATATATTTTAGGGGGATGCACCAATAAATTCCAAATTAATAACTTATACACTGTTTAGTCCTAAAAGTTTTCTTATAGACTGAAAGGTCCCATTACAATGTTTCAAATATCAGATTAATGTTTCGAACATTAAATTTCGAACATCATATTAATGTTTCGAATATTAGATTTCGAACATCAGATTAATGTTTCGAACATTAGATTGATATGCAAATGGGACTAAATGGAGCATAAGAAAACTTTTAAAACTAAATGGTTCAACTTTTCAAAAACTAAGACTTATGGGTAAATTTTTCTATATTTTATAGATATTTTACTTATCTTTTTTATTTCTTTTTTTAAATTTCTTTCTAAATCTATCGACCACCGAACACGACCGAACACGGTAAATGATTTGAGGGACACGACAAGTCGTCTCCAATAATAATCGCCTGCAGTGCAGCAACTGCGTTCGAACAAGAGAGGGCAAATAATAAATCGACGCGTAAGCAGCGAGGTTGGATATGTAGAGCACTGGGCACAAATGGTGACAGCAGATCAACGCAATTCCAACCAAGCAAACTGTGAATGGTGGCACTGGCAGGGCAGTTAAATATCCCCCACCATTTCAGTTTGAAAAATGCTTGGGAGCACTAATTAGTGCTCCCACTAATTAGGTGGCAGTGGGTCCCGCCATTAATGATGTGATGTTTTGGTTTTAGAGTTGTATTTTTTTTTATTTTTTTTTACTTTTTTAATGTATTAGTGTTATTAGTGGTGATGTTTTTAGTGGGATGAATCATTGTTGATTTCAGTTTTGTCCGAAACCCAAAAATCAACACTCCACACACTCACACACACACACACGACAGAGCCGGAAAAAGGAAGCTGCTCAAAAAAAAACGAAAGAAAGGAAGCGTAATAAACAAGAACTACTACCACAAGAGTGCACGCGATTAGCCCGTCCATCAAGGTCGTTGCCTCTCCTTTCTCTCTCTGTCTGTCTGTCAAACAATTCTTCTTATTAAAATGTTGCTCATACCCATTACACAGCATTACTAGTCTCTGTATTCTAGTAGTCTAAGCATTTAGATCAAGATTCAATTGCATCATTGAATCTCTCTCTCTCTCTCTACTCTGTAAGCATTCCATTAATCTTTTTTCATTGCAAATTTGATTCACCCTTTCCTCAATCATTATTCATATACATATACACACATAAGGCATTCATTTGAAGTATAAAGTAGGAATTCAACAAATTTTCTTTCTTTTGCCATATAAAAAGGTTAAAGAAATTGGGTTTTAAGTATAAAGTTGGAGTTCTTCGTTACTTGGTTGGGATTATTTAACCCTAAATCATGTGTTTTCTTGTTTTTTGATTTTGGGTTGTTTGGGGAGGAGGGGAAGCAAGGGATTTTGACAAGCAATTATTGGTCCTTATGATGAAATCTTGATGGGTTTGATTGCTTGGCCTCTTATAGTTTACCAAAACCTAATTATCTAATTCGCATATATGCAGGTGTCTATTAACTTAAATGGCCTCAGTATTGGCTAGCCATAGCTGTTATTGCCGCGATTTGGACTTGATGAATCATGGAAAAGGAGTTGATAATCTCAGTTTTTGTAGCTCAATCTCAATTCAGCAACTCCCAAAGTTTGAGAGGCAAACAAGTAATTCATGCACTAGTGATAAATTCTTATGGTTTCAAGTCAAAATGCAACAGACTGAATCGCCTAGGAAATTGGGTTCGAATGGTAGACCTATTAAAATGGTACCTACCAGTGAGGTAATGAAAAAGAAAACTCAATCAGTTGGTAATGCAGAGGTAGTGAATGGTTCGAAGCGGGTTGTTAATGGAGCTGTTAATGGAGCAAGCATTGTTAAGAGAGATGCTTCTTCTGCCCTGGTTAAGACCACAAAAATTAGGGGCTCTAAAGAGCTTCCACCGATCGAAGGCCTAAAGGTTCTTCCCTCAGATGAAGGTTTCAGTTGGGCCAGTGAGAATTATAATTCGGTTCAAAGAACTATAGATGTGTGGTCTTTCGTGCTTTCTTTACGTGTTCGTGTTATGTTCGACAATGCAAAATGGGCATACATTGGAGGCTTCACTGAAGATAAGCAGGTAAAATTGGAAATCTAAAAAGATGTTATTTGATGTTGCCTGATTGATTCTTAATCAATCACTTGCTACATATGCCACGGCTAACAAAATCTCTAATTACTTTCTTTACTATGGAGAGTTGTGTCTGTTGAATAACTTGACATACATTGTTAGGCCTATTTCCTAACGGCTTAAGCTTTTGGGACAATTGGTGAGTGAGTTAGCAGTATCTTCTATTAGTGTTTTTTACTTACAAAATTCTAATTGTATTCAGAAAAACAGAAGAAGAAAAACTGCCTCATGGTTACGAGAATGTGTATTGCAACTTGGTCCAACTTTTATCAAACTTGGACAGTTATCCTCGACAAGGTCTGATCTTTTTCCACGTGAGTTTGTGGACGAGCTAGCCAAGTTGCAGGTACTCTTGTTTGGCCTTGAAAACAAAATCTCATTAAATCGTGCGAAAATGCAAACATTTGTTTAATTTTTTTCTAGATAAAGAAAGCATATGCTTATTTTGTTGATGGAAATTGCTTGATATATGGTTCAGGATAAGGTACCTGCGTTCTCACCAAAGAAAGCAAAAGCCTTCATTGCAAATGAATTGGGAGCTCCAGTTGACATATTATTTAAAGAGTTTGAAGACCAGCCAATTGCAGCTGCTAGCCTTGGTCAGGTGTTTGTTCCATGTACATATGTTAAGCCTTCATTTAAATTTATGAGACTTTACAAAGACCCATTTAGTTTCATATACTTGTAGTCACTCAATAGTTTTTACTATATTTATGATTTATTGTTGTTAATTGTTATATTTATCGTCCAAACCACCACCACACCACCATCACTATCATATTGTTTTTGTGTCGATACGTTTGTGTGATCTTAACTTTTTCTGTTTAGTGTATAACCTTCTTGAAACATAAACTGTGCTATCAAATGCAGCCTTGAGAGTTGTAGTGTCTTAAAGTCATTCATGTTAGACACTTTTTTTGTGTGTGTGCAATCTGACATAATAACTAACGCAATCATTTGATTAATATGAACATGCATGGGGAACATAGAAAGTTAACGACAATACATTTAAATATTTGTAAAGGTGCTTGTCTTGTTCTCTTGCTAAACAACAAATGACAAGATCTGGAAGACTAATGGATGCTTGGATCAAATTTGAATTTTATATTTCATCCAATTTCTGGCTTATTAGTGTATGAGCAGAAGATAGCAGTAAAGTTAGACTAGGAGAGTGACCTTTTTCTTCACATGTCATTTACTCTTTTCTTGCTACTTCTGTCCATTCTCTGATCGAGTTTTGAAGAGTTTTTCCTTTAGGTGCATCGGGCTGTATTACATAATGGAGAGAAAGTTGTTGTGAAAGTTCAAAGACCTGGCCTCAAGAAACTCTTTGATATTGATTTACGTAAGTAGTGCACGTATGTGGACCATTTTCACTTGGTGGTAATTAATGATCATAGAAACATGTGTTCTTATTTATTTTCTTGGTTCAATTCATTTTGTATAGTTTTGGTTATTTCTCTCAATTATGCACCTTTCTTCCAGGAAATTTAAAGCTAATTGCTGAATACTTTCAAAAAAGCGAAACACTTGGTGGTCCAACCAGGGATTGGATTGGAATATATGAAGAATGTGCCAAGTAAAGAATTAGCATTGATCAGTTTTTTTAAAACTCCTATCATGCTTCCTTTCTTTTTTTGTTCCCAATATATTTTTAGTGGTTGCTTTGTATTTAACTGTGAAGTAACAATGGTTCATGTTACACAAGCCTGGTGGATAGATTAGCATTTAAGCATCATGGTTCTGTTATATTGTTTGAACTACTTGACCTGTGTACGAAAGCCCCCTCATTGTCAAAAGTATTTTGTACGAGAATTTTTCCAAATTATTTCTCCTTCATTATTCATGCTGATGGCGAGGTCAATGATTTAATTCATAGTCTAACAGCCCCTCATAAAAAATGTATGTATAATATCTGGAGGATATTTTTTAGGGCAACACCATGGCCTACTTTTAGATAGGAATTTATTGTAAGCATTTTCAGTAACTTGTTTCTTCTTGACCAAAATTATTGGGCCATAACTATTAAAACAACATACCTAATTCGTTCACACAAGTCCATATGCAATCAGATCCAGATCAATTTGGATCAGTAGACTTCCAATTTTTTTCATGCAGCTGCATATGGTCACCTTGCTAGGGGTAATAGTTTCTGAATGTCTGGTTTTCTATAGATGCATATTCTGCTTACTTTCATGTCAGTTGTCAGTTGCTATTCTGTCCATTTTCTTTCAAGCATTTTTATGATTTTCTATATAATATTGAGGACACCGCTAGCTAACATTTGTCTACATAGCGTTAGTGGAACAGTTATTTGGTTCACATGTTCATGGATTTTTTATTTATTGGCTTTCAATATAAAATTCATGAAAAACTCTGGCAAAAGATTTGACTTATAATCGCCCCCTCCTTCTCCTACATCAGTGGTGTATCTTTGTGTATTAGCTAGTCATTATTGCATTTGTGGGAATTTCAGGATTTTGTACGAAGAAATTGATTATATAAATGAAGGGAAGAACGCTGATAGATTCCGCCGGGATTTTCGAAATGTCAAGTGGGTTCGAGTACCTGTATGTTTCTTGCTAAAAGACTGCAAGTTGCTTCTTGTTTAGTTCATACGCTTTTTTTCATTTCCAGATGCTTTGCAATGAGGAGATTTCTATTACCCACCAAGTTCTATGCATTATCCTTTTATCTCCAAAACCTGAAAAGCTCAACTAAGCTGGGTTTGAGATGCTTTTTTTAAGCTAGCTTTTTTTACTTTTTTTAAGCTGCAAATAAGTTTTGCCAAACAGGCTCTATGAAGAATTTGATTTTTTTTCCCTTCCCTTTCGGTTCTTTTTTTTCTCCCCTTTTTTATCGGGAACTTGAACTCATCAGTAAATCACTTATATTAAAAAAATAGAGAAATAAAAATAAAAAAAGAAGAAGATAAAACAGTACTTGCTGATTCTTACTTGGAAATCCTTTTTGGTTTTCTTTTTTATCTTCTGTAGCTGGTGATTTGGGATTATACCGCAACGAAGGTATTAACATTGGAGTACGTTCCAGGTTTCAATCTGAACCACTGTGTTACTTTGTATTGAATATTGTGAATCATCAAATCCTAAGATCAATGTTTAAAGCGAAAGAGCATATATCCTATGATTTGATATTGTGAGTTCTGTGAGCAGGTGTCAAGATAAATTATTTGGAAATGATAGATGCACGGGGTTATAGTCGATCTCAAATTTCCTCACGTTCTATTGAAGCATACTTAATTCAGGTTAAAAACCTTACCTACTTATCTTGGTCAGATTGAACCATCTAGCTGGTTACAAGTCTCATGCTGTGAAACTTGCTAACTTGAACTGATGATTTTGCTGCATCTTGGTAACCACTTCAGATTCTGAAAACTGGTTTCTTTCATGCTGATCCTCATCCTGGAAATCTTGCTATTGACGTGGATGAATCACTAATTTATTATGATTTTGGTATGATGGGAGAGATTAAGTCTTTTACACGTGAGAGATTGCTTGATCTCTTTTATGCAGTTTATGAGAAAGATGCAAAAAAGGTCTGCTTTTTTCCTTTAATTATATATTTCAGCATTTATCTAGCAGTTTGTTGACCAATAGAATTTACAAAACAAATTTCTATGCACAACCACATCATTGTCGCTTCTTTTTAGGTAGTATTTTGGAAGTGATTGTCATTGATGCATTGGCCATTTATATATCCCCAAAATTGATTACAACCCTCCCTCTCACTTAGTAGGCCACACCACAAGTGGTGGATCCATCGATGAAGGGTGTGGATTTATCAATCTTGTATATCAGATGTAGTGTAACAATACATGTTATTTAAACACTATGTTGAACTTTGATAACCACTATATTGAACTTTGATAACAGTATCTGTAACACTGTGATACAATTTTCTGATTTCCAGTTTGAATTTCCTTTGAGGGGAAGTTTGAACTGGCACTGGGATGTAAATACACTGCAAATACAAAGAAATTTAAGAACTTGAATTTGTTTTGACATATTGATCTGGCTTCAATAGCTTAATTTGTCAACCCACTACTATGCAGGTTATGCGCAGTCTCATAGATCTTGGAGCACTTCAGCCGACAGGAGACCTGGCATCGGTATGTTATCAGAGTATACACCAGTTAACATAAAATGTCACTCAGTGAAACATTTGCTCCGTATAGGCCTTTTTGTTGTCAGTTCTGATCGTATTTTATACTCCTAGGTTAGGAGATCCGTGCAGTATTTCTTGGATAATTTGTTGAGTCAGAGGCCAGACCAACAGCAGACTTTGTCTGCAATTGGTGAGGTATGCAATATTCAATTAAAATACTTCAAATACTTCGATTAAATATTCAATAGTTGGTGATGGCTCCCTTTTTCTTTCAAATAACCCCATTCACAATGATTTGACTTAAAACAAAACTATCCACAAACAAAATTATATATAGAAAACCATCTAGAATGAGTGTTTTGATATGAAATGAAAAGATTACAAAAAGTCGACATCATTGTATATCATTACTCTTCCTTTAAATGCTAACTAAAAGACGTGAAGCCTATTCATTTTCCACAAACATTGAAACAAATCCTTAATCTATTTGTTTCCACACACACATGCCCAAAAAAAAAAAATTTACCTATGAAAAGAAAGAGTAAAGATGCTAGTCTAATTAAATCTGATAACTTGGCGCATGTCATTACTTCAGAGAAATTAGGATTACCAAAGGAAACGAGGGAGGATATTAATGTCATTTAGCTCTCCTCGTGATATCCTTCGCTTGTAGTAAGGCACTCCTTCAAAACTTCCCATATTCAACCAAAATGCATATTCTTCACCAAACTACGGTAGATGATTACCCTCTTCACTAGGTTGTTTCAAATGACCCTTCAATGATTATAATCAGTAAAAGTGCAAGGAATTTCTTCGCAGGATTTGTTTGCTATAGCACAAGATCAGCCATTCCGGTTTCCATCCACCTTTACCTTTGTGTTAAGGGCATTTTCAACACTTGAAGGTTCTCTCTCTCTCTCTCTCTCACACACACACACACAACACACTTGTACACACATGCGATTGTGGTCATGGGCATACAATTTCACACAAAAGTGATACCGTAAAATTACTTTGAAATGAAAGTCACAAAAAACTGCTTTGAGTCTAAAAAGTTTTGTGATCATTCAATACCTTTCTTTCTGATAGTAATGTTGGGTTGGACTGACTTCATCTTATAATTCATTTTACAATGTCAGTTTTTGGATGATTTGGATCACAAGTGGACCATTAAATCTGATGCACTTAATTGAACACAAGGCATTCTTCTCTTGTAAATAGAGTTTGTTTTTTGTATTACTGATCAATGTAGAACCAATAAGTTTATCAGGTATATGTGTTAGTCGTGGTAGTTTTGGATCATATGGGTGTCATTTAATCATATGGATGTTTGATGATTGAATAACTAATTTGCAAGATTATTCATTTGTTAGCCTTCAAATTTCACAGAAGCTAAATATGATATTAAATGAGCACCGTAGCATTTGTTTCATTGTTCTCTTCTAATCATGACTGTTATCTTGTAGGTGTTGGCTACACGCTCGACCCAGATTTCTCGTTCGTAAAGATTGCTGCACCTTATGCCCAGGTTCTATATGTTTCCCTGATAGATTGACAATGCTTAAAGTTGATTGTGAAATTCTCTTAATGCTTTCAAAAAACAAAACAAAACAGAAAAAAAAAACACCAGTAACTTCCATCTAGGTATAGCTCTAAAATTGTTTGAATACCTACAGGAGCTGTTGGACTTAAAGCAGAAGCAGCGCACTGGAACTCAACTTGTTCAGGAAATACGGAAACAAGCTGATGATGTACTACTGTATTTTGACTCTTGTCAAATTGATAACATTGTTTCCTTCATAACTCAGTTGAAAGCTATTTTTTTCAGATGATGATATATCTATAGTATACACTTACATTTTTAATTTTGTCTATGAATTTCAGGCCAGATCATACACCATGTCCATGCCATACAGAGTCCAACAGATAGAAGAGATTGTGAAACAACTCGAGTCAGGAGACTTGAAACTCCGAGTCCGGGTCCTCGAGGTATTCCATCGCTTAAATTTTTGTGAAAATTCACAAGTAGCCTATACAAATACTTGATGATCTTAACTTTTTCTGTTTAGTGTATATAATAAACTAAGCATTTGTACTTGAAAATGTCTTCGTTAATTAATATTCTTCGGTGTGTGAAACTGCATGAATTGCATTCAACAGTCTGAACGCGCAGCTCGGAAGGCAACAATACTGCAAATGGCAACAATGTATACAGTTCTAGGAGGTACACTACTAAACCTCGGGGTCACATTGGGAAATCAAGGCACTCAAGTAATTGCAAACGGATCATTTATTGGTGCAGGTTATCCCTGAAATTCTTACACCCAAACAGTTCATTTTCATGCTTGCATTTACTTTTTAAACTTGTTCTGGAGCTAAAAGAGCAAAAGACATCAGTTTCACTATTTTCATTCATCAAATTGCAGGTGTTTTTTTTATGCTGCTTATGAGGTCCATGCAAAGGGTGAAGAAGCTTGATAAATTTGAGAACATGATATGATTAAACACACAGCACAAAGTCGCAACAAATTGTCTCCCGATTTATTGGTTATTGAATTCGGATTTCTTTTCTTTTTTGGTCCATTTGTCCAATAGCTATATGATTTGTACAGTTAACACAAACATAGGGGCATGATTATTACCCTTGTATTTCACAGAAATTTATATATAAAGTTTTATGGTTCAACGCATTGATACCGAGATTGATTCAAATTTCAACCAGTAAATTGAGTGCCAAATTCATTTAAAAGTGATAATCAAGGCTACAATGCATTATTGGATGAACAAGAGTCAAATTCACATTTTCAGTAACAGAATTAAAGTAACAGAATTAAAGTGCACCTCTCTCATGCACCTCTCTCATTAATAATAACATTTACAGGGAGAAGACTAAAGACAGAACAAAGATATTCAAGTGTTATCCCCCAACTACGATGTGTCATATCTACAAGACTACATGAGGGTAGAGAAAAAACAAATGACATTCAGAGTGAGTGATCAATGTGTTCGATCTTATTAGTGTCCGTGAATAAAAATCAGGCAAGCAATTAACCTCTTTCAATACCAAAACTTCAACTCCAAATTGGTGGAGCTACACAAGTTAGTACTTACCTATGCTGCCACGCTCCATTACCAGATGGCTTATACGGGTACAGAATCATACTTTTGACCTCGCTCTTCCCAGCAATTCTGGAGATGCTTTACTCTTGAGCATTGATTCTCCAGAACACCCATCTTGTATGTTGGCTTCAGAAACGCTCAAAACCATTGAATGGATCAGATGAAGCAGCAGAAAGGAGCCCTAAATTAGTTCTCCTTAGTGAACGATGGGCCTAGCAGGCAAGTCCCTAGGCCATTTGCTTCAAAAGATCAACTGTGTCCTCAGAATTTGCATTATTCTGGTTTCTGGAAGCATCTAGAAGCCCGACATCAGTCAGGTTACCATCAACTAGGTCAGATAAACTAAAAGAGTCTGAAACCCATCCCCACCTCATCATACTCTCCAAAACCTTTGTAGCCTTATCAATCTCACCACCCATTTGAAGACCGCGAACTACAACACTAAACGTAGCAACGCTGGGCCTATGCCCACTGGCTATCATTTCATCAAGCAGACTCAGTGCCTTAGAGTAGTCTTCTTTTTTGCACAGGGCTTGTATTAAAGCTTTATAAGCTTTTGCACTCATCTGTATGCCCTTCTCTGACATCTCGGCCCTTAACGCAAATGCCTCCACTGAATTCCCTTCTTTACAGTGAGCATCCAACATTACATAATAGGTGATTTTATCAGGCTTAATTCCCTTATCCACCATATCCTGAAATAATGCAAAAACCTCTTTTCTATCACCTACCATGTTGTAACCATGAAGAAGTGTCGTATAAGTTATGGTGGTAGGGTTTAGATTCCTCTCCTGCATCTCTAAAAAGAGCCCTCTTGCTTCCTGCATCATTCCCTCCTTACAATGCCGATCAATGAGAATCGTGTATGTGACATGATTAGGCACCACCTGTTTTTCTATCATTTCTTCAAACAGTCGTTTTGCTTCTTGAAGCTTTTCACTCTTACAAAACCCATCAATCAATGTGTTGAAAGATGGAGTAGAAGCAAAGCCCTTCTGCAACATTTGTTGAAATAAGTCCAGAGCTTTTTCCAGTTTTCCTTCATTGCAGTAGCCATCTAGAAGGGCATTGTAGACAAACCCATCTAGTGAGATACCCCTCTGTTGCATCTCATCCAATAATCTGAATGCCACGTCTACACTCCCAGATTTGCAACAACCATCTATCATTGTAGTATATGTTACCGTGTTTGGTGTCAAACCTTCTTGTGAAATGCCATCAAACAATATTTTAGCTCTTTCGGTTTCACCTGCCTTAAGAAGCCCATTGATTAAGATGTTGTAAGTAACAATGTTTGTAGTAACCCCTTTCGCAGACATCTCTTCATGAAGTTGAAAAGCCTTCTCTAAATCACTTTGTTTACACAACCCAGAGATGAGAGAGTTGTAAATAAAAACATCAGGAACCAAACCCCTCTCACAGAGTTCGGAAAAGATCTCAATAGCTTCTTGCAGTTTTCCATTCCTTGAGAGGCCTTGGATGAGCACACTGTAAGTTTGAAAATCCGGGAGAACCCTTCGTGCAAGCATACATCTAAATACCGAGAAGGCTTCTGTAATATTCCCCCTTTTGCAGTGCCCATCAATCAATGTAGTGTAAATTACAACATTTGGCTTTAGACCACAACCGAGCATCTCATCAAAATACCTATCAGCAATTTGCATTTCCCCTAGCTTGCTATATCCATCAATGAAAACTCCATAAGTATAAGCGTTGGCCTTTAAACCTCTCCCCAACATTTCAACCAAGCAACTCCTTGCTTCTTCCATCTTTTGAGCTCTGGAAAGGCAGAATATAACAGAATTATAGCAAAATACATCTGGCATGATTCCTTGCTTCGTCATTTCATCAAAAAGGTTTCTTGATTCTTCAAATCTACCTTCTCGAGAATGAGCTGTCATCAGAGTCGTGTAGACTACAGCATTTGGTTTCAAACCATTTGCAACCATTTCCCCAAGAACCTCACTTACCTGTTGGAGATTTCCATTACGGCAAAGGCCATTAATTATCACACTGTAAGTCATCACCGTGGGTGCCAAATTAATACTCTTCATCGTTTCAAGCACTTCAAAAGCTCTAATCATATTGCCCTCTCGACAATAACCCTCAATCAACCAAGTATAAGTTCTGGAATCAAATGTCGTGCCCCTTCTACTCATCTTATTCATGAGTTCTTCTGCCTGGTCCATCCTACCAGCCTTACAAACCCCGTTAAGAAGCGTGTTGTATATAAGCAAATCTTCTCGAATACCATGATCATCTATCTCATCCCTAATCCTAAAAGCCTCTTCTATATCACCTTGTTTCATTAACCCATCAATTAAAGCATTATATGTTATTAAGTCAGGCGTTCGACCCAAATCAGTCATCTCCACTAATACCATTTTCGCCTCTTTCAATCTCTTTTGTGCACAAAACCCATTGATAAGAGTAGCATAAGTGTAATTATCAAGGAGTATCCCCTTCTCAACCATAGATTTCTTCATTTCGATAGCCTCATCGAGAAGCCCAGCTCTACACAACCCTCCAAGGACCACATTGTATGTAACCACATTTGGTTCGCAACCCTTTTCCCTCATTTCAAGAAGCAATTTTCTAGCCTCCTTAACATTCCCAACCGTACAATGAGCATTGATCATATTGGTATAACTATAAACATCAAAACGCATATTTGCTTCAGACATTGCATCACAAACCTTCCAAAACAACTTCAACTTTCTAGTCTTCAACAAATCACTCAACAAAGAATTGAAAAGTAACGAACTAGGAACAAAGTCAACATCTTTAGCACCTAAAACAATCCCAACAGCCTCATCCAAGAGACCCATTTTCCTATACTTATCAGTCAGAATATCAAACACTTTCTGATTCGAAACAGACCCATTATTAGAGTTTTTGTAAAACCTCAGGATTGAACCCAAAACAACAAGTGGGGAAGAAGAAGAACAACAAGACCTAATCATTCGTTCAATTACACCACTAGAAGCTCCATAACAGTGAGAGTTACAGAGATTAACGACTAGAATCGACATGGTATCTAAATCTTTGATTGAACCCAGTTTGTGTTCGTACCAGCGGAAGAAATTGAGGAGGCGTGTGGAATCAAGACCCACCTGGTTTTGGTGGAGAACGGTTCGAACCACATCTGGGTTTAGTTTCTTGGGTATTTCTGATGATTCCAAGAGGTGGATCCAATTGTTGCGCTTGAGTACCGTGGTGATTTCATCGATCAAGTCTTGGTTTTGTTGTTGTTGTTGGAAAGCTAGTGAGGATAGTCTGGTCTTTGGAGTGAGAAGATGGGACTTTCTTTGTGAGAGTCTCCACATGTTTGGATCACTGGCTGGTGTGTTGGGTTTCTCTCTCTACAGCAGAGGAGGAGAGAGAGAGAGAGAGAGAGAGTGATTGATCTTTCTCTCACTCGCTGTTTGCAGAGAGAAGTGGGCAAGGATTAACCCTAGGGTAGGATTAAATTACAAATTTGCCACCATTCTTCACAATTTTCTGACCCAGTTGAAATTTTTGGGCCCCATCGGGGTGATTTTGGGCTTTTTCTTGGTCTGTCTTCTTGGGCTTTCATTGCTTTTTTGTTGCTATTAAGACCAATTATTCATGTGGGCCAGTTAGGCTTTTCATGCATCACTCACTGGGGATTCGTTTCCCGTCGCAATGTCTTGGTGGCCCAATAAAAAAACAACAAAAACATTATTAAAAAAAAAATAAAGTCTCTTACTTTCTGTTTGGATTTTGAATTTGTGAAAAGATTTGTAAAAAATTTTAGGGCAAATTACCAACACCCCTCGAGATTTGATTAAAATATAAATTTTTTCCTAAGATTTGAAAAATTACAAATTATCCCTGAAGTTTATATTTGTATAACAAATTGCCCTCTCATTTGTTATGCAAATATAAACTTTATGAGGCAATTTGTTATGCAAATATAAATCTCAGGGGGTGAGATGTAATTTCTCAAACCTTAGGACGGAATCCCTATTTTAGTCAAATCTCAAGAGGTATTGGTAATTTGCCCAAATTTTTAAAATGGAAATAAAGTGAAATTTATTTATTTATTTTTCCCAATTTTCCTTTTTTTAAATTTTTTATTCTTCATAAATTCAAAATCCAAACAAATCCTTAAAATTCATGTTAAAAAAAGGGTTTTAATAGCCGCTTAATTGGATTTGGAGTTCAACCCTATTGACATTAACATATTCCCTTCCCAAATATTTAATGTTTTATTTGTACCAAAAATTGAATAATAAAATTATTTGAATGTCAAAAAGCATTTTTCTTGTCGATAATTATAAACAAAACAAACAAAAGAGAGAATCAACTTTGTGCAAGTCACTTTATTGTACATTTGCAAAGTATTTTGCATGCTTGGATTGGCGTGAGTTGAGGATATAATTAGAAACCTATTTCTTATGAGAATGATTCCAACTTACTCGAATTGTTTATTCACACTGTTTGAGATTAGCTCAAAAACTAACCATTTGTTTTAGCAGAAAATATTTTTTGAAAGATGATTTTTATATTTTTTGTTGTTTGGTATAATGAAAAATAAAAATCAATGGAAAATATTTTCAAATGTCAACACAAAACAAGCCTTTTTTTATTGGCTATACTTTTATTAAAATTGAAAAAAAAAATTATGCTTTTAGGTTTTACATGATTAGACAAACCAAAAAAGTTTATAAAAAAATAACAAAAAGTTGCCTTTTACTTTTTAGATTCTACTACATTAGACAAACTTGAAATGTAACATTTTTTGATACAAACTTTAAATAAATAAATAAAAAGTCACTAAAGATACAAATGTTCAAGTATTAAAAAAAATGTGATTTTTTTATGCTGATCCCAAACTCACCCTCAACTTCTCAGCTCATCTCATATAAAACACTAATCGTAGACTATACATGAAACTAGGCCTATATTATAAAATAATAAAAAAAAAAAAAATTATCTAGCACGACCTTTACAAGTAAAAATACATTGCATAAGCATATGTAAATAAGACATATACAAGACACCTATTAAAACAGATTAATAAAAATATAATATACGCATCTTATTCTGTAATTTTAAAAAATTCAAAAATTAAACCAACAAATCAAAATGATATACAAATTAAATGGCATATTTTACTAAATAAGTGTACGTTTGATAACCAACAAACATAGTCAACCAAACATCCCAGCATTTATTATGTATTATTGGAAGGGAAAATGTCAAACAAGGCAACTTCATTAGTTTTTTAAGACCCACCAATCTTGAACTGTTATGACTGAATAATTATCACAATGGCACTTCCAAACATATTTGATGTCATAGGTGGTTGTTGGGTACTAGAGCTAGTTCCACTGCACTATGTAATATTGTTGGCTTATTTTTCTTACGAAGGAAAATATCATAAATGCGAGCGTATCAGTAAGGATTGAAAAATTCTTACAGATTAAATTCAAGCCAATTATCAAGCGATTGCGTTGGCGGTTCTTTTGCCTCAATAAAGAGGACTTTAAAATTGTCAAGTGTAGAGAAAAGAAAAATTAAAAGAAGAATGAGGGAGACGGAGAAAGATGATTGAGTGAACAATCAAAGTAATAATTACTTACCTCTACTCCTATGCTTCGAAAATGAAGTACATAAAATGTTTCGAAAAGGAAATGCTGAAAATAAATACTTTGAAATATAAATCTATGTTAAACTACTCCTAAGATAAGAAAAATGACAAGAAATATTGAAATCGATTGCCTTTGATTTGAATTCTGGATCTTTTACAATGTAGCCATGAATGACTATTTATAGACAAATACTGGTAGGAAAAAACTTCCAGCAATAACTACCTAATAACCACCTAAAACTACCCACTCTTCCATCTTCATTCCCATAATGCGACATAACCCTCTATGCCTTCATAACTTCTCATAATCTCCAAATGAGTAGGAGGATGTCACATATCCTGCAATTATATAAATAATAAATAATAATAAAAATTACAGATTTATGGTGCTAACAAATATATATATATATATATATGGATGGTGCTAATGACAGTTTTAAGAATTGTCAATAAAAAATATGAAATAATATTTTTTTGGAGAGAGAGAGAGGATATTGCTTGGTTTATTTTGATAAGATTTTTTTTATTTTTAAAACTCAATTTGGTGAAAGTTTAAATTGTTAAATAAGAAATGTGTTTTTGACAGACGTCGCTCTATACACATATTGTCATTAATTAGGCTTGACTAACATTGGGGATTTTTTTTCTAAAAAAAAAAATCCTTGAATTATGGAATATCAAGTTATGATCAGGTTAGACTTGAATAAGTAATTTACATTTTGAATTAAGCTTGTATAATTCTTTCAATTTGACCGAAACCATTGAATTGCAGCCATAATACAACCATAACATAACAGAGAAACAAGTTTACAAGGCATGACAATGTAGACTAAAGCATAGATGTATATATAAGAATAAGACCCTTAAAATGGGACTTCTTGACTTAAGACTTTGAGAACAGCAAACTTTGTGGTCCAACAATGATGCCCACTACCAGCCTCCATCACCAGTTTAGCTCATTTTAATAACTTGAATACTACTATTTGACTCCACATTCCCACCAACGACTTGTTGCAATTTCACATTTAGCCTCCGTTTGGGAAGTGGGTTGGCTTTTTAGCTTTTTGACTTTTTTGGCTATTTTAACCTGGGCTAAAAAGTTTGGTTTGGGAAGGACTTTTTGACTTTTTGACTTTTTTGACTTTTTTTGTGAGAGAAGAATGTAATGATTATAGGTTGGATGTGATGTTTTGTTTGTTATGGCTAAAATAGTCTATTTTGTTTTTTGTGACTAAAATAGCCAAAAAAGCCTGAAAAAGCCCTTGCCAAACACAGGCTTATATATATACTCCGTTTGGGAAGTGGGTTGGTTTTTTGACTTTTTGATTTTTTTAGCTATTTTGGCCTGGGCTTAAAAGCTTGGTTTGAGAAGGGCTTTTTGGCTTTTTGGCTTTTTTGAGTTTTTTTGTGAGAGAAGAATGTAATGATTATGGGTTGGATGTGATGTTTTGTTTGTTATGGTTAAAATAGCCTATTTTATTTTTTGTGACTAAAATAGCCAAAAAAACCTGCAAACCCACTTGCCAAACACATATGTATAGTGTTTTTCACTCCAAAATTGACTAAAAAAAGTGAAAGAAATTATGTTGAAATAAACAAAATTACAAACTAATGTTGCTCATATCATATTATTTTAGTGAGTCTCGTTTTAAATATCAAAATTCTATCACAGCGCGTAATATTAATTGTAAAAGTTTAGGAACACATAACTAAATCTAACCTCAATAGATCCTGTGTGTATATACTATAGAGTAGTATCATAAAAATAAAATATTATGTATGTCCAAAATTAATCAATCTCAATTGATCTCCATGTAAAAGGATTATATCTAATTTTATAATTGATTTCTATATTTGAAAGGAGAAGAATTGATATTAATTTGTGACATAAATTTGTAGTAACTACGCAATAGAGTCAATAAAGGCTCCCAACTATGTGACTCTGTGAATAATTTGGTCCTCTCTTATGAGCCCTTAGTTATGCAGTAATATCTATCAATATATACATAATTGAGTGGATGACTTTGACTAAAAAAACTTCTTGAATTTACGTTTGTCGTCTCTCTCACCAAAAGCCCATACAAAATTGGCAAATACTACGCAAAAAAGGTCGTTTGGGATGATTTTTTAGTGTTTTTTTATTTTTATATCATCTTTAGTAAATTTTTTTATTTTTTCTTTTTTTTTTTAACACCAGAAGTATTGGAAAAGTAAAAAAATTCAACACAAATTTGAAAAAAATCACTAGACAAAAATTTTAAAAACGAATGTGATGCTAAATGATGTCAGTTTTATATTCAACTTTAAGTTGATAAAAATTAAAACAAAAATAGAAACATTTTTTTAATCCATGCATTAATGTATCATGTTATAATGAATTCAATAGATTTCATAACAGGAGTAATTATTAGAAGTGGCATATAATTAATATAAACAAATTTTTAAAATAAGATAGAAAATCTTAAATAAATATATAATGAATAAAACTTACACATAAATAGAAAGACTAGAATCTCTAATCTCTTAATAAGGTGTTAGGCACTACATAATGATGATACTACAGGAGGCTTGGACAGGTCGGACTAATCCACGCTTCTCCAACCGGTATCCGAGTGATTAAGCCCACTCGAAAACTTGCACAAGAGTTCAACGGGAAACGGGGAGTCCCCAGCGAACCCTCCGACGAGCAAGTTAGAAAGAGAATTGGATTGTAGAAATAGATTAGAGATAGAAAAGCTTAACCTTCTTTCTGTCTTCGACGTCTGCTTATATCCTCTGGTAATCATTTCGTTGTCCCTTCCGACCTGTCACCTTGGCCGAAAGTCTATGCTCTAACTTACCTTGTTCATGGTGAAGGCGATCTGTCTCGACGGAGAAGGCTTGTCGCAATAAATGCTGTAAGGGGCTTCATTAAATGGCGATGTGCAGTGGCAATAACTTTGCAGATATTTGTCTGCTGATGTAGCTTGCCCTTCTCTTGCCATGTGTCTTGGTGCTATTGGTTCTCATTGCTACGTGAGTGCTGGGCTTTAGTACACTACAAGAATCTGCACTTTTAGCGACCACTTTCCGCGACCAATATAAAAGTTGGTAGCTAAAAGTTACCTTTTGGCGACCAAATATTAATTAGTCGTGAATGATCATTATTTTTGGCGACCAAATATGAGTTAGTCGCAAAAGGTCATATTTTGGCGACCAACTACAAATTTGGTCGCGGAAGGTCACATTTTGGCGACCAAAAAATAAGTTGGTCGCGAAAGATCAAAAATAAGTTGGTTGTGAAATTGGCGACCAAACTTTTGGTCGCCAAAAACTTATTTTTAGCAACAAAAAATATTTTAGTCACCGTATATTGAGTTTTGACTACTAAAACAATGTAGTCGCCGAATGAAAAATAAAAAACTATTTTTTATCTTTTGGCGACCAAAATTTTGGTCGCCAAAAAACTTATTTTTAGCCGTATATTGAGTTTTGGCTACTAAAACAATTTAGTCGCCAAATAGAAAATAAATTTGTTCTTTCTTTGGCGACTAAAACTTTGGTTGCCAAAAACTTATTTTCAGCAACCAAAAAAAATGTAGTCACCAAATTAGTACTTTTAGCGACTAACATTTTAGTTGCCGTTGATTGAGATTTGGCGACTAAAAAAGTTTGTCGGCGAAGGCACATTTTCTGCGACTAATCTGGTCTTTTGGTCACCAAAAGTTTGGGAGGGAAATTTGAAATGCGGGGACGGGAATTGAAATTTTTTTGTGACAAAAAAAAATTGGTCGCCGATTGTTAAATGACGTCACTCTTTTTTTTTTTTTTGAGTTTTAAATTTTTTTTTATGAAAATAATTAAATATTTATATTATACCTAACTAAACAAAAATTTAAAATTAAAATATATATATATATAATTCACTCCACCATTAAAAAAATAAAAATCACTTAAGATTATTGTTTGAAAAAAATAATAACTTAAAAATTATTTTTTTTGGGATCATCAGACCACTTGGTCTCTCTCTCTCTCTCTATCCTTTTCATTCTCTCATCTCTCCTTCATTTGTGCTCTCCCGATCCAGAAGCTTCTCATCACCGACCCCCTCACTCTCTCTCATCAACGACGGTGAGAGTCTCTCTCTCTCCATTATTCTCTTCGATGAAAAAGGGACTATCACTAGGGGTCTTTTCTCGTCGCCGATCCCCTTCACTTTCTCTCTTCTTGTTGTCGATCGGTCTGTCATAGTCGACATCCTACCCCCCTCTTTCTCTCCATCTCTCTCATCTCTCTCCAGTGAATATCAGTTGACGAGGATCTAACATCTAGTTTGTCGGCGTATATTGAGTTTTGGCTAAAGCAATTTAGTCGCCAAATGAAAATAATTTAGTCGACATCCTACTAAAACAATTTAGTCGCCAAATGAAAAATAATTTTTTTTTTTCTTTGGCGACCAAAACTTTGGTCGCCAAAAACTTACTTTCAGCAACCAAAAAAAATTTAGTCGCCAAATTAGTACTTTTAGCAACAAATATTTTAGTCCCGTTGATTGAGATTTGGCAACTAAAACAGTTTGTCGGCGAAGGTACCTTTTCTGCGACTAATCTGGTCTTTTGGTCTCCAAAAGTTTGGGAGGGAAATTTGAAACGTGGAGGCGGGAATTAAAATATCTTTTAGTCATCATACAGTTATTTTTTACTACTAAAATTATTTAGTCGTTGAATGAAAAATAAAAATTTACTTTCAATACTTGGCGACCAACAGTTTGGTAGCCACAAAATTATTTTCAGCAACAAATAAATATTTTAGTTGCTATATAGTTAATTTTGGTTACTAAAATATGTTGTCGCCGAATAAAACATAAAAATTTATTTTTTTATCTTTGGCGATTAGAAATTTAGTCACCAAACATTTATTTTTAGCGACTAAATAGTTTTGGTTGCCAAAAGAACTAAAATATTTGACATTTCAAATTTAGCGCCCTGTTTAATATTGGTGCCCTGTTTAAGTTTACACCTCCTTTTGTTCTCTCTCTCATACACACAGTCTGCGACCACCGCGTGTGTGAGGTAGGTAAAAGCTGGAGACCAATTTATTTGGTTTCTAAAGGTTGAACGGACCAAATAAAATCATCCTCTTGCGTGTGTCAATTGATCTCAGCTTTGTCTTCAACTTCAATCGATCTTCTGCTTCTTATCAGAATCATCTTCAACTTCAATCATCTTCACCTCATAACAAAATCGGCGTCGATTGATGTTCATCTTCAATCCGGATCGATCCTTGTGTCGCCTCTTATCAGAATCGATTTTCACCTCATATCAGAATCGATCTTTGTACTGATCTTCAGCTTCAATCGACCTTCACCTTTTAGAATCGATCGATCTCTTTATAGGACTCCGTTTGATCACTTGATGTACGACATCGAGGGCAATCACCTCACATCCACCGCCATCCTCGGCCACGACGGCAGTGTCTGAGCTCAGAGCGCTTCTTTCCCCTAGGTTCTCCATAGATCTGTCTTTCTAATTTATTATTTAATTATAATGTGTTTGATTTCCATTGCTTTTTCATCGATCTGCTCGTAAAAGTGTTGATCGCCAATTGCCTTTGCTGATTTTATGAATTGTTGAGATTTCGATTAGATCCGAGTGCTCATCTATTGAAAGCTGTAATGATTCTATGAAGCCTTTTTTGATGATTGGCTTTGGGATTTTCCTTATTGAATCATGAGATGTGAGATTTGATTTGTTTGGCTGATTAGAGCCGATTCAGAATGTTTGATTTTCACCTGCATTATTATTCAATTTGCAATTCTTTTTGAGTTTGATTTGTTTTACCTTGGGAAGATCTCAGAATGGATCTCCTTTTTTCCTTCATTTTGAGGTTTTACTTTTTATTCCATTTGCTGAGCACTCGTGTTGCTTTATACACCTGATAGTATGTGGATCTAACACATCTTAGACTCGTTCCTTTTCATGTTGTGCATGACATGGCGACATCTTTTTGATGTGTTTGTCAACATTGCTATTGCATGTTTTTGGAAAACACTCAAAAAAACGTTTTTAGATAAAATCCTCCCTGTGTATGTAAGACTAAATGTGGGTTGATTAGTAGTTTCCTGTGCTTGACATATTGTGTCCAATTACAATCACCATCATATTGAGAAAGGGGTTGTTTTTTCTTCTCAGTTCTCAGCAGGTGGGGTTATGGAAGTTTTTGTTTTCTTTTTTTAGATAGGAAGTTAGATACCAACACTGCACAGCAGTGTACTCAACCAAAAGGTTTCGAGCCTATTTTTGCCTGGTCAATGTCAAGATGACATTGTTTTTGCACTGCTGCTGAGTTTTCTATTAGCAATGTTAAATACTTGGTTTGGGTTGTTCATATTGTCCTGTTCGAAGTGTGGTTAGGCTTACCCATTCTTCATTGTTATTGCTCTGTTTTTCTTCTGGGATTAATATCATTGATGTGTTTAATTTATTCTCAGCTTCTTATTTAGATAAACTGATTCTCAAGTCACTACTAGAATTTAGTCAACATAGGTTAGAACAAGTCTCGAAGGTACTGATCTGAAGTAGATTTTCAAGTTTATTGATGAGGAGTTCCTTATGAAACTTTTTTACTTTTTACACTGTCAATCAAATCCGAGCAAATTGCATCTGCTAAACTTCTTCTCATTTTGTGTTAATTTTGTGTCCTGAGAAATTGCATCTACTAAACTTCTTCTCTCTGCTTATATTTATGCTTTGGGGGGCAAATGTTAGATTCCCACAATCCTGTTTTGTTTGCTTGTTTGACTATTGTTTTGTTTGTGCTTATATATTTGATATACTCCTTACCCTCTTAAGTTTGCCTTATACTTAAAGCTATTAGATCAAAACTCCAACTACTTGTTGGTATTTCCAAATACTTAAAGCTAAATGAAGTATTAGGTTAGGTCCACCTATGTCTTATTTTCATTATTTTCTTCTTGAATCATAATGATGTTTTTGAGTAACTGATAGTATTAGTGCTTCTATGGCTATTTCAGAAGTAGCTTTATTGTGTTTATCTTATTCAATTAATGGTTGGAATTAGGGGCAAACCTACGAATTTGCTTTAGGTATATGTATATCCTTTATCCGTTTTAACTTTGGTTATATATCATTCTAATGCTTGTTATTGCCCACATCCAGATATTTTCAAGCCGGATGCACAGTTCTTGGAGAATGAGAAGCGCTATGAAGAAGTGAAAAAGACCACACTTGGTGAAGGGTCCAAGGATGATGCTGATGTAGATTCAGATGCAGGCTCAGATGATGAGGATGATGAAGAATCTGATGAAGAGGATGAAGAGAAGATGGAAATAAAAGATGAGACAGGGACAAATCCTGTAAACCTTCGGAGGACAATTTATCTAACAATTATGTCTAGCGTTGATTTTGAGGAAGCTGGCCACAAACTATTGAAAATTAAACTAGAGCCAGGTCAGGAGGTAAGTAATATAAGTGATCCCTCAAAGTTTTTATCATATAATTAAAGCAATGCTAGATTCATATTTTAAGCATAGATTCATGCGTGTTCCCGGTGCTGAAAATACCTAGTTGATAGTCTTGTTGGTTGCCTAGGTGTGCATTGATGACCACGTGATATAATCTCTTACATGATTTAAGTCAATTGTATGGTGGTAAATATTTCCTTTTGATGGGTGGGCTGGACTAAAATGTTTGTTTTTTTTAAATGCACTAAACTAGTTACTCTTATGTGATATTTATGCATTGACATGGGGAGCGTTTGAATATGTTTAGTTGTTTTGAGGTAAATAATGTGCTTCTTCTTGTTACATACAAAATGCATACTACGAAGATAATCATCTCACTATTCGCATTCTCTTGTATTTCTTTCTTTATCCTCTACCCTGTTATTACCGCAGCTCTCCCTCTCCATCTTGGTGCGACTCATCTCCCATTACCGCTGGTGAGAGCTCTCCCTCTCATCTTCCGGATGTCCACGCACCGCCGCTTTACCGACCCTACTTTTCGGCCGCCGCCGCAGAGCTACATTCCAATGCTACTCCTCTTCATCTACTGGTACAACTCTTCATTTGTATATTAGATTTATAGATTTGCAGTTTCTTGTAGGACAAAGGTGCGAAAAAAGGCGTTCATATGTGTATTATTTGTTCGGTTTTATGCCGAATCAACAGATTTGATTTTCAATTAATGAGAATTTATTGCCGATGATTTCAATTGCAACACAAGCCTACATACTTATTTAAATGCCATAGGAGTTTTTGTTTTTGATTGCCAAGCTTAATTGCTTTAGGAGTTGGAATTGTATTATTTGAAGTTTGCTTCTGTATATATATGTATATATGTACGTAGGTGAGGCTGGAACATGAAGAGTGCTACTGTAATTATTATAAAAATGTTAAATAGTTAAAAACGCATCACAATACAACCTAGAAAGCAATTGATATACTTTGATTCCTCAACTCAATTAGTAGTACCTCCAGAGTCCTCGTATCCATTATTTATCCATTATAAAATAGTAAATAAATAAATATTGTACTATTTTATAATGTCAAAATGAGTCCACTTGACATCTTACAATTGAATATTGTCATGATTGGCCATAATGTTTTTCTCTTTGCATAAAAACTTTACTGAGTGATTTTTGAGCTTTTGTTTTGATGGTAATGGTCGTGTGTGCCTATAAAATACTGAGAAAACTACAAAATTTAGGATAAATGCATAGAACTTAGCTTCAAAGTGAGACCTTATCGATTTGTTTGTTAGTTGAGTTTTAATTATGTTTCCTATGTGTATATACTGAAACTACTATTTTATAAAAAAATTCTAACATTATATACCATATCGATTTTTTTTTTAATAAAGAATATAAGTTTTGTTATTAATACATGTATTGATGATCTTCTTAGACCAATTTCATGATTCAGTTACATTCTTAGTAATTTTTATTTTAAAGAACCATCAGCTATGATTGCTGCTGAAAGTACTTAAACAAACTCTGCTGCAATGTGCATGTATACACATTTCACAAGAGTTGGCGTTCCACTCGTACTTTTCAAAACCAGTGATGCTTGGCAGACTTGGTAACTACTTATTTTACGGTCGTGAGCAGCATTAAACTTGTATGGTTTCTGTTTCTGGTATCTCACTTATCAAAAGAAGATGTGGGAAATAAGGGTCTTGTTTCATCTATCATTCCATTTTCTGCTTTGGTATATCAATTTCTTTACCAAATTGGATTTATTCTCAAAAAGACGGTTAAATTGTGATGTTTGATGCAGTTTTTGGATGGTCCCACTGAGGTGGAGTTGAGACTAGACTTGGGGGCCATGATATCCAAAGTTCTAGAGATATATTTGTGGATGCGGAAGAGAGCTCTTTAACAATCAGAGTACAGCACTTGGGTCTCTCAAGACTCTGATGGAAACTACTTGTCTGTACGAGAAGATTAAGCCTGCTGAAACAATATGGTTTGTGCAATCAATCATATATGGGTGTTCTTAGTCACCAATCATTACACGTTTGAATTGAAGTCTATTTGTTCCTCAGGTATATGGATGATGATTAACTGGTAGTTAATTTGAAGAAACAAGACCCAGATTTAAAATGGCCTGATATCATCGAGTCCTGGGAGTCCCTCACTGTAGGAGTTATGTAGCTCTTGGAAGGAACATCAATCTACTTAGTTGGGGATTCATCAGAAATCAATGAAAAAATTGCTCGAGAACTAGTTGTAGGAGTAATTACAGTAGCTCTGTCCCCTACCTTCGTAATTTTTATTTATTTATTTATTTTTTAATCTGGGCAAGATGTGTTTGAATTTCATGGCACATTGTTTTTCACATAATTTGATTAATCCATGAAAGCCTTGCCCCCTAAATCCCTTATTAGATCATGAAGAAAGCTGAAGTATTTTTATTTCTTTTCAAATTTGAGTATTCTGACATTGTTTGATTGAGCAAACCAAATAGGATGTGCTGTGAATTGAACATTTGGTTGTCTTTCAGGAGGTAATGATGCTTCTCACTCAGCTGAAGCTACAGCCCGCAGAGGATCAAGTAGTTTTGCTCGCCCTGACGTTGTATTGTGTTGTGTTGTTAATAAATGTGTTTGAATGTTAATGCTTCAATTTAGAGTTGTATTGTGTCGAATGTTAATGAATTTAGAATAGGGTTTTGTGAATCGTTCCTTGTTTTTGGAATCAATGTTGCTGCTGCTGAGTTATGTGTTGAAACTTGGATATAGAAAATTTTATAATAAGACCTGTTTTGATTATGAATTCGCTAAATATATAGGTGTATTATTTTTCTGCTTTGGCGACCAATTTATTAGTCGCGGCATCCAAAATAATTTTTTTTCACAAAAAATGATAATTGCCGACCAAGGGTTTTGGTCGCAAAAAATGACAATTGCCGACCAAGAGTTTTGGTCGCAAAAAATACATCTATTGCCGACCAAAACAGTTCTTGGTCGTGGAAACTCACTTTTTCCGATCAAAAGTTTTGGTCGCGAAAAGTAACAAATGGCGACCAAAACCTTTTTTGGTCGTGGAATGTCACAATTGGCGACCAAACTTTTTGGTCACGGAATGTCACGATTGGCGACCAAAATTTTTGGTCGTTGAATGTGATAATTGGCGACCAAACTTTTTGGTCGGGAAAATTTCACTTTTCGCGACCAAAGTGTTTTAGCGACTAAATGAATTAGTCACGGTAATGATATATTTCGCGACTAAAAATTTGGTCGGCAAATCCAACTTTTCCCGACCAACCAAAATTTTGGTCGCGAATTACTTTTGCCGACCCTCAATTGGCGACCAAAGTAGCGACCAAAAAAATTGGTCGCGGATAACTTTTACCGACCAAAAATGGGCTTTTAGCGACCAATTTTTTGGTCGGCAAAAGTGTTAATTCTTGTAGTAGTATTTGAGATATGTATTGGGCCCTAAGTAGTGGGCTATAATCTTCATGGGCTTACCTATGTCACATAACAAGCTAAATTTTTGTCTGAGATGAACAAATACTGAAACTTTCCAACAATGTTTATTTTATTAGCACCAAACTAAGAGAGTAGGTATATATATGTTTTGGACTGGAGGATATTTTATATTACTAAATGAATTTTACATATTTTTTTTGGACGCAAACCCAAGATTTTATGTAAGATGAACCAAAATTTTGACAAGAAAATTTTCATTTCTTATAGATGATTTTATATATTTCTTTTGAGCCAAGACTTCATTTACTAAGGTGGTGTTTGGTGTCACTTTTGAAAGTCCTTCCTCACCACCATAGAAGTCCTTCAGAACTAATTTTTGTACGAGCAAAGAAATTTTGAGGAAGTCCATCTGAGAGAAATTTCAATAACTTGCAGCTCAAATTTATGAAAAAATAAAAATTTAATGTTCAATGTAGGGATGCAATTTTGGCCTGACCCATCTGGGCTCGAGCCGAGCCCACGTCGGGCCTTGCGGGCTTCCCTCAAAAATCAGGCCGAGCCGGGCCACAAGCCAAAAAACTAGGCCCAGACCCTAGTCCAGGGGTATTCGGGCTTTGGGCCGGGCCTCGGGCTTGGGTTGAGCTCGGGTTTTGGGCAGGCCTAAACAATTTTTTTTAACTTTTTTCACCAAAATTTTATTATTTTTCATTAAAAATAACACTGAGCATCAGCCGGACCGGGCTTTTGGACGGGCCTTGAGCCGGCCAATGGGTCGGGCCGGGCTTCAAAACGATGGCCCAGGCCCAGGCCCAAGGCCTCAAGCTGGGCTTGGACTCGTGCCTAAACGAGCTGGGCTCACCTCGGACAGCGAGCGGGCTTCGGGCCGCCCGCGGGTCACGGGCTAAAATTACACCCCTAGTTCAATGGTCATATGGTTGAGTTTTTATAATTAGTTTTTTGAATTTTTTTTAAATTAGAAATTGGTTTGATAAAAAATACACACTACAAATATATATATAATTTAAAAAGTTAAAAATCATATTAAAATAATGATTTTTTTATTTATCAAATTAAATTTTGAATGTTCTTATAAAATAGATTATAAAAACTAAACTAAACAGAATGGTACTTGGAATAGTTTAAACTCGCAATGATATTTTCTTGGGGGCAGAGGGCCATGGCCATTGGCCACACTAAAATTTTATTTTTAAAATTTCTAAGCTCAAAAAAATAAAAAATAAAATAAATAAATAAGAGGAAATTTGAGTCACTATAAGGTGGGACTAGCAAAAATGGTGCACAAGTACGAGTGTAAAAATTGCTCGTGGCCGTGAGTGACTCGAAATTCACTCGTGGTTCGGAGTGAGTCTAACCTGTTTGGGTCCGGGCCCAAGTCCAGTTCGAGACTCTCGCCCAAGGCTTGACCCATCATTTTGAAGTCGGCCCGGCCTGCCCTATGGGCCCACTTAAGGCACACTCAAGACCCAACCCATCTAAAATCTAGTATTTTTTTAGTGAAAATTAATAAAATTTTGGTAGAAAAAATAAAAAAACAAAAAAATGTGTTCAGGCCCGCCCAAGCCTGAACCCAAGCCCAAGCCTACTGGCTTGCCCAAGGCCCGAATTTCCCCTAGGCTTGCACCTAATGTTTTAGTTCGTAGCCTAACTCGGCCCGAATTTTGATGGGAGCTTGCGAGACTCAACATGAACTGGATCGAAACAAGACCGAGTCAAATTTACATCCCTATGGACAACTACACAAGATGAGCAATAAAAGACAACAATTAGTATAAATTTGTCGCTAAAATCGAGGGTTGGGATAACGCAAATCTTACCACTATTTTTTTTTTATTATTAATTTATTTTCCCGTTAAGAGAAAGAGGGACGCAAGTCCTACTATAATTTATAACTTATGTTGCAGTTTAATAACAATATTGCAAATCATAGTCTTTAATTTACCAACCACATGGCACATATGAGGCTTGGAGTTTGATTTTCTTAGTGTATTATCAAAATGAGTAAATAAAATATAAATTTTAATTAGTTTAAAATAAATAATTTTTACAATTTTAGATGAAAATATTATAGTTTTGAACTAATTAAATTCCGTATTTTACAATTGATCATAGAGTCTCTCTTTTCAATTTTTTAAATGTTTTTCAACTATTAAATTATTTAAAAAATTTAAACTATATAAATCTTAAAACATAATTTAGGCTCTGTTTGGAGTGTTATTTTTTTGGTTAAAATAGTAAAAAAATCTAAATAGCCAATCACACCGCTTTCCATTTTTGTACATATCTTTTCATAAAAAAAATCAAACAACTAACTAAATAGTCACTTTCTAAACACTTTCTTAATGCTAAAAAGTGCATTAAAATAAAGAATATGAAAATTAGAATAAGTGTATGAACCTACCCTTATCTATTTTGAATTTATCCCGAATGATGATGTGTGGTTAGAATTGAATTTGTGTAGTGTGAAATTCATGTGTAAAATATATCTAAATTACAAAATGATAATTCCAAATAATTTATTTCTAAATAGTTAAGTCTAAGTAATATCGACCCATACTATAAGCCATGTTTGTTTGGCAAATTAAGTTGGATGAGATTGTTAATGAGATGATGGTTAATGAAGAAATTGTTAATGTGATAATTGTTAATTTGGAGATTGTTAGTCAGTGTATTAAGTAAAAGTGTGTTTATTTTGATAATAGTATAAGTGATGGTTAGTAATGTGATTATTGAGAAAAGAGGTCAACTAAAAGATATTTTCCGCTTATCTTGTGATGAGAACTTGCTAAATAATATGTATTAAACTCAGAAACTTAAGGTGAAGGTGTGCCTTTGGAAATTTTGAGAGTTTGATATGGAAAAATTTAGTCTTATACCGATTAAGAGAAATACAGGAAGGGTAGAATCATGGCTCAACTCCTTTCATTTTTAACACAAGGAAAACATTAAAACACATCTAAAAACAATGTTTAGAACCCTTAAGAGCATGTATTTGAAAAAAGAAAATGAAAGAGAGAGTTGTGTTGTGGCTTACTTGCTAGGCTAGGCCAAGTTGAACAAGATTGCTCTCCTCTTCCTTCCTCTCCCTCTCAAGACTTCTCTCTTGCTCTC